TCCTCTCTGAGCGTTCTAGCCTCACGGCAGGTGACCCACCACAGCCTACCCCTGCAGCCCCACCCGAATCACCGTCTCCCTCTTCTGTGTAAGTGGTGTGGCCCGCAGGGGCCAAGCCACTGCCTCAGGGAAGGCTTTCTGGTTGGTGGTGCTCCCCCATTTCCTTACCCATAATCCTTCTTGTTTGGTTGCTCAAACATCTGACTGTCAGAACTGGTGCTATGTTCCTCTGGAAGTGGCCCTCAGCTCAGCTCTGCCACAGCTCGCCTGCCTGCCCCTCCCTGTCCCTAAAGGCAGAGCCTGCCTGTCCAGGAACTGTTGACAAATGGGTGACACGTGTGAATCATTTCTTTTTTGTTTTTGTTTGTTTGTTTGTTTTTATATTTTATTGATTTTTTACAGAGAGGAAGAGAGAGGGATAGAGAGATAGAAACATCAATGTGAGAGAAACATCGAGCAGCTGCCTGCTGCACAACCCCCACCGGGGAGGGGCTGCAACCAATGTACATTCCCTTGACTGGAATCGAACCTGGGACTCTTCAGTCCCCAGGTGGATGCTCTATCCACTGAGCCAAACCGGTTTCGGCAATGGGTGAATCATTTTACCAAACTTTTATGAAAAAACTCTTCTGTATTAGGCTCTGCTCAAAGCCCAGTCTGAACTAGCCTTTTGCCAACGTCCACATTCCTGTTTAGCACCAACATCACCCTCCTTCCCCACCACAGCCAGCCGCCCCAAGTCCCTGCTGAGGACCTGGCAGGGGTGGAGATAAGTGGCCTTTTGTTTCTCCTCTTATCTCTAAACTGGGTTCAGATGTGTGTGTGCATGTGCCTTTTATGTGTGCGTGTGTGCACATGTGTGTAGGGGTGCCCTGGGCGCAGCTCCCATGCGTGATCTAACCCAGCTCCACAGCGGGGCCCCTACAATCCATGCAGAGTCTGTGCTATAGGGAACTCAGAAGTGGCTGCCGACAGGATGCTCTAAGTTTGGCCACTCTCTTCCCCGGGACTCCCCGAGAATGCCCCCTCCTGCAGTGCTGCATGGGGGTGGGGGAAGTTCAGGCTGCTCCCTGGCACCCCCCACCCCCTCTGCCTGCCTCTCCTCAGTTCCTTTTTTCTCCTGCTCACTGTCTGCCTCAGGAGACACATGGAGGGGAAGCTGGCCTCCTCTCCTGCAGCTCCCCACCTCTAGGGGTTTTCTTCTTGGGGTGCAGGTGCTTTGCGGGGAGGAGAGAGGGAGCAGTCTCCTCCGGGCTGGCCACTTGCTCCCCCCCCCCCCCCCCACTTTGCCATGAACTGAGCGAACAGAGCTTGGGAAGATGGGATGGCTGGGGAGTGGGAGTTGGGGGTGGGCACTGTGTAGGTTGGACTTTGCTGCTTCTTAATCAGTCCCGAGCACATACCTGGTCCCAAAGGGCCATTCCTTATTATTGAGAACCCACTGTGTGTCCAGCACAGTGCTGGGTGCTGATTAATGGAGTGTTTGAAAGACAGCAATCCTCACACCCAATCATTTTTCATGGGAAAACAGATATTGTAAAAACCAATAGTGTGTAGCCATTGGGAATCCAGAGAGAGTAGAAGAGTATGGGGGAGGGGGGTCCGGAGCAACCAAGGGTGGAAGCCAGGGTCATGTTAAGCTGTGCTTAACGTTCGCCTTTCCCGAACTTGTGGCTTAGCCCACAACCTGGGCCAGGCGAGTCCTGCCGACACTGTGAGCACAGGCGGTGATGGCAGGGCCGGGGCTCATAGTCCAGTGGGATGCTTGTCTATTTGGTGGCATGTGTCCGGGCTCACTTCGCCACCCCTCCCCAGCCACATCCCTCCATTCTGTGCTTCTGGAGGCATCCGTGGGCCGGGCCAGCCCAGGCCCCCTGGCCTCTTCAGCGGGAGGAGGCTCCCCACTCCGAGGAGGGCGGCTCTGCAGCAGGAGCCGGTGGAGCTATGCCTGCCTGACAGGCCGGGAGCAGGCACCTCCCAGCTGGAGACCTCAGACCTGAGGGTTTGGGGTTTGGAAGGAAGCCTGGACCACAGCGACCACTTCTCTCGCTGTGGCTCCCGCAGCTGCTCCAGGCTGGAGGCGCGGAGGGGAGGGGGGGGAGGGGGGAGGGGGAAGGGGGGTAGGGAGGCCTGCCCAGGCCGTCGGGAGAGCAGGCAGTGGCTCCGGGGCTCACACAGAGCTTCCTCTGGCGGTTGGCGCCCAGCTCGGGCCGGGGACGCTGTGAGCCTCCCGCCATGACGGCCACGCTGGGGCAGGCCCTGGGCTGCCTCCTGCCCGCCCTTCTGCTGGGACTCACAGGTGAGTTCTGAGTGCTGCCCACGGGAATCCTCAGGTCAGGGAGGGAGCGCTGGGGGTACGCAATCCAGCCCCCCGGTGTTAGAGGGGTGGGCACGGGGGCAGAGACCAGAGGACCTGGCTGAGCTGCGTACCTGCCTCCTGGGTGCTGTGTGCTTGTTTTCCACAATGTGGGCCTGCGGGGAACAGAGGTGAGGGAGTTTTGGGGGCAGGAAGAGGAAGGTGTGACAGGAGAGTGAGGGGCTAGGGGGCGGTCAGAGAGTGATAGAGGAACCCACCTCCCACCCAGTTTCCTTGATGCCAGCTCTGGTCTGGGTGGCCACCAGGTCTATGTCAGAGAGGGTGTGAGGGTGGGAAAGACAGAGGGAGAGAGGAACCCCTGAGGGATGGAGCCTCTGGCATTATGGGAAGGTGCTGGACCCACAGTCATCAGACACACCTGCTTAACATCCCCGCTTAGCCACTAATAGGCTGTGTGATCCTGATCCCGTCACTACACCTCTCTGGGCCTGTTTCTTCTGGAAAGTGAAATACTAGCATTCCTTAGCTGGGATGTGGATGAAGATGAGCACACACGTCTGAAAGTGCTTTATAGACCACAGGGCGCTGAGTGTGGATGGGTGATCATTGCCATTAGGCTTTATTCAGAGGGGAGAGAGCACCACACAGAAGGTACCAGAGCTCATTGCTAAGGCGACTTGCTCCTCTGGCCCCTGCCGCTGCCTTCCATCAGCTTCTGTGCTGTCGTCGCTGGTTTACTTGCGCCCTTCCACACGCCCCTAGCCAGAAGCTCCTGCAGGCAGGGGTCCCCCATCCGTCTGTGTCTCCCGCTGACATACTGGCTCGGAGCAGGGGCTCGGGGAATGCGATGAAGACTTGGAGAGATCTGGCCCGCGGATCTCTGCAGACCATGCTGCGGGCGGGAAGAGGCTGGTCCTGCAGTTTTCCCAGGAGGAAGGCTCGAGGAGACAGCGCCTGGGTTAGCAGCAGAGTGCTTTGTCCTGGTCCAGCGTCGTGAGGAGGGAGGAGGAGGAAGCGGCCTCGGTTGGAGAGAGCCTCCCATCCCGGGGGTGAGCCCGCAGAGGGCGGAGGCCCTTGAGGCAGCTCCCCGGTGTGCCCCAGGAGACTCCTGGGGGAGGACGGGGCCTGCCATCCCCGCCTGTGGGGATCCCTGACTTCACACTCACGTCCAAACTGGAAATCTTGCTTCCTCACCACACCCCTCCCATTCCAACCTGGTCCAGTTTCCCCCTCCTCAAACACTAGAGCCACCACCCGCCCAGAGGCTCCGGAGAAAACCCTGGCAATCACTTATCCATAATTCACTGCGTCTCTTCTCCACCCAGTCCATGACCACGTCCTGTGGGCTCTACCTTCCAAACGTGCCTCCATTTCTCAGAATCCCAGCCCGGGAGCCACCTCCTCACCCGATGGCGGCAGCAGCCTCCTCGCTGGCCCCCCTGCTCCCCAGTGCCACCCTCCCGCCCATCCTCCACTCAGAAACCCCCATGGTCTCCTAAAGCACGTCAAAGAGGCCGCCTGCGCCTGTTTGCAATCTCCCCGGCTTCCCACCAGAATGGGATCTTCTCATGCACCGCCGCTTTGCCCCCCCCCCCCCTGCCGCAGACCCCGGCCTCTCAGTGCTTCAGCCCGCCAAGCCCTTCCTGCCCGAGCTGCTCTCACCTGCCCGCCCCCTTTCTGGGATGTCATTCCCTGCCCCCTGGCTGGCTCCTAGACAATCCTCAGTTTCAGCTCAAAAATGTCACCTTCCCGGGAATCCTTCTTCTACCTCCTAGAATAACAACCCCCAGCATTTTCGATCTCTGTCTTCTTTGGGTTTCCCTTAGGCCTGTGGTCGGCAAACTGCGGCTCGAGAGCCACATGTGGCTCTTTGGCCCCTTGAGTGTGGCTCTTCCACAAAACATCATGGCCTTCCCGAAATCGGTTTGGCTCAGTGGATAGAGCGTCGGTCTGCAGACTAAAGGGTCTAAAGTAGGGGTGTCAAACTCAATCAGAGAAGGGGCCAAAATCTAAAATCCAGCCTAAATCGCGGGCCGAATGGTTTACTGAACAGTCATAAACTGTCATTGTGATGGAAACGCAGCGGAGTGCAGTGATGACAGCGCGGTGCGGGCCACATTGCAAGGCCTGGCGGGACGGATTTGGCCCGAGGGCCTTGTGTTTGACACATGTGGTCTAAAGGGTCCCAGGTTCTATTCTAGTCAAGGTCATGTGCATTGGTTTCGGGCACGTCCCTGGTGAGGGGTGTGCAGGAGGCAGCTGGTCGTTGTTTCTCTCTCATTGATGTTTCTAGCTCTCTATCCCTCTCCCTTCCTCTCTGCGAAAAATCAATAATATATATATATATTTTTTTTAAATCGCAGCTTAAGTGAGTCTATTTTGAAGAAATGGCATTAGAAGAAGTTTAAAAATTTTGGCTCTCCAAAGAAATTCCAATTGTTGTGCTGTTGATATTTGGCTCTGTGGACTAATGAGTTTGCCGACCACTGCCTTAGGTCCTTGGGCCCCAGTTGGGATTATACATTTGCTTGCTTCCTTGTTATCATCTGTGTGTGTGACCCCCGGGGCAGGAACCACACACGGTGCATAGTAAGTCTGCAGGGCCAGAGGGCACGGCGCCTCCGCCAGGCTGAGTGCTAGATGTGCCCTGCCCTCAGTCCTCAGCGTGCAGACAGGTGCTCTCTCCGCAGCTGGGCAGCCGTTCATCACGCTGGCCGGCCCGGCAGAGAGGATGGCCCCCGGGCACTCGGTGCCGTTCAACTGCACCGCCGGCAGCTTCAGCTCCCCAGACTTCCGCGTCACCTGGATGAAGGACCGGGATGAGCATCCAGCCTCGGCGCAGCGCCTGGTGACCGCTGACAAAGGCAATTACTCCGTCAGCAGCAAGGTGTGGGTGACCCTGGTGCGCCAGGATGTCTCCTCGGAGATCACCTGTACGGTCACCCACAGGGACCTGGCCGCGCCCCTGCACAGCACCCTGAACCTCTCCCAGGTGCTCCGAGGTGAGTGGGCAGGAGGAAGGGGACATCGCCTTCCCTGGCCACCGTCTCCCACCCGAAGCCCTCGTTCATGCTGGGAAGCGGGAGCTCCTCGTGGCCACGGCTCGGGCCATGTAGCCATTAAAGGCGCAGGTCCCAGCGGCTGGCCATCTGGGATGACCCTCTGTACCACTTCACAGCTCGTGTGGCCCCTTAACCTCCGTGGGCCTCAATTTCCTCCTAGAATGGAAATAACATGAAGACCTACCTCATAGGTTTCATGGGAGGATCAAATGACTGATTCCTCATAAAGCACCTAGAATATGGCCTTATAAATAGTGCCCGGCACACAGTAGGTTGTTTGCGCATGTCTATGATTATTATCGGGCTCAACTTTCCATTCCAAACATCTATTTGTTCTACTGACGTCATGGCTGCTACTAATCTTAAGTATTGATTATTCATTCCACAGAGGAATATTGACCATGGGCCAGGCACTGGTCCGGGTGCTGAGGATAGAGCGGTGAATAAAATTAAGTCCCTCTCCTCGCGGGCATTACATTTGGGTGCACCTTACAACTATATTTCATGATTTGAAACATGAGAAACACAGAATGTAAGATCCCAGGCACCCATGTACCCTTAGCCCATGTTTAATGACCATTAAGATTTGGCCCCATTTGCCTTGCACTGAGCAGACAGGGGAAAACCATTTTTTTTTAAGTAACTGACGAAAGAGTGAGAGAATCTGTGGCTGATTCCCAGGAAAGAGGAACACGCAGGTGTGATTTGAACAGACGATTCTCTCTGTTCCTCTGCCAGTGGTTCCCGCCGTGAAGATCACTGCCCAGCCCTCCGAGGCGCACACCGCCCATCACCAGAGGGTGAACCTCACTTGCCACGTGAGCCACTTCTATCCCTCGCACCTGCGCCTCACCTGGATGGAGAACCGGCACACGGTGCACACCGAGCCGTCCCCCCCGGTCACCAGGAACTCCGACGGGACCTACTCCCTGGAGCACACGTGGCAGGCGGAGGCCAAGCCCAACGGGAGCGAGTTCGCGTGCTGGGTGGTCCAGGACGAGCAGCCCCCGGTCCAGGCCAACCTCACCCTGCGGGCTCCGGGCCACCGGCAGAGGAAAAGTGCGTGTGCCGCCGCCCAGGCCCCTGGGCAGCGTGGTGGGCGGGTCAGGACTGGCCTCGGAGGAAGGAAGGAAGGACGCCCTGGGCTGGTGATAAAACTCTCAGGCACTCGCCGCTGGAGTCCTCCCTCCCTTCCTCCCACACAGCCAGGTCGTGGGAGGCAGGAGTGGGACTTCCCCTCCCCAGCCCCACGGCCTCTGCAGGCGGAAAGTTCCCTGCTGTAGCTCTGCACTGCGGACAAGGCAGAGATTTCACTGTGGGCACCAACTGGGGGGCGGCTTTTAATCAAGACTGGCTCGGCTGGGAGTTTCTGGACCTCAGTTTTAATGAGATTAGACAGTGGCTGCAGGTGCGAAATTCTCATTCTCTCTAGTGCTCAGTTCGCTTTTTTCTTTCTCCTTTCTCTGCCTTTACCTCCTCCCCCTTCTCATTTTCTTCCTCCTCCCACCTCCCCTCCTCCTCTACTTCCCCTAATCCTCCTCCTCTCCCTTCCCCCTCCCATCCTAACCCTTTCTCCGCCTTATTGAGCTCATCCTTAGCGGCCTCAGATGGCTTTGTCCACAAAGGGGCGCTGCCGGCCAGCAGTTCAGACACAGAGCAGGGCGTTGCTTTTCGGGACCAGACGGAGATAAAGATGGATGGGCGGAGGGATTGGGCCACGAGGAGGGGAAGGGAGGATTATGATTGGCCAGGTCTGGGCCAGCCGAGTGTGGACTGACAGCTCTGCAGAACCACAGCGGGTGGAGAAGGACAGGCAGGTCCCTCCTGGAAGTGTGGGCGTCTGCGCCTGCGTGCATCTATTAGAGCCCAGTAGCTGCCGAGAGAGCCTGGACCAGGTGCGGGGCGGCGACCCTGAGCATCTTGACAGCAGGGGCTCGGAGCCTGCCCGCCACCCCTCCCTGATAGGCTTTGCCTCTACCTGCCTGCTGGAAGGATTCTCAGGGGGGGACGATCCCGCCACCATTCATTTGCTATACGCCCCTGTGTTTCTTATCCAACAGAAATGAGAAAGATGTCCACCCAGGGGGATATGCAGATTTGAATGCCAAACTCCAAAATGGTCCTTTCCCATCAGAAGCAAATAACATTATTTCTGTATTGGCTCACTTCTTTGTGGACCGAGTCCTTGCCTCCGGATACCTTTCTCCTTTGCCTGCGGGCAATGTGTCTAGCCCACAGCTGCCAGGTGAACCCCCTGATTGCACCCCTTTGATTCAGCTGCTGGAAGCGCCCTGTGGTCTGAGAGGAGGAGAAGGGCAACTTCCTCTCCTGGCACTGGGTGCCGCACCTTTGCAGGCACGCCTCCCACTCTGGCCCTCCCTCCGCACTCACCCTCCTGCACTGCCCGCTGCGCCTGTTCCTCTGGCACCTGCAGAGCGCTCCCCGTGCACCAGGGGTCCTCGCTCGCCTGGGACCTGGGACGTAAGACAGCTGGGAAAGGCAGAGGACGGGACAGGATGGACCAAGTCCCAGGGCTCTCAGAGCTTTCATCAGGAGGCAGGCAGGGCTGTCTCTTCACAAACGCAATGTGCCTTTCCTGTGTTTTTTTCTCCCATCCTGCCTGAAAACACAAATCCTAGTTATTTCACACCTCTTCCCAAATCTACCTTCGATACTCTGTTTCTGGTATTTATTTCTTCCTGACTGCTCACATCTGCCCACATGCCCAATTGCCTCATAAACTTTGGGGCCTCCTGTTAACCCATGACGGGGGTTATCTGTTTCCACCTCTCCCCCACCGGGAGAATTTCAGCCCTGGAGCAAACACTGGCTCCTGGGTGTGGAGGTGGTGAGTGTGGTGGGAGTCCATCTGCCTCAGGCAAAGCGCTGCCCCTACTCAGCTCAGTCTCCTTGTCTTTGTTTTTTATTATTGATTTTTAGAGAGAGTGGGAGGGAGGGAGGAGGGAGGAGGAAGAGAGAAAGAGAGATATGAGAGAGAGAGAGAGAGAGAGAGAGAGAGAGAGAGATGTGAGAGAGACACTTCAATGGGTTGCCTCCCACATTCACTCTGACTGGGGCTGAGGATGTGCTCTTGACCAGGAATGGAACCTGCGACCCGTCTGTGCACAGGCCGACGCTCTAACCACTGAGCACAGTGGCCAGGGCTCAGTCTCCTCATTTTTGTAACAACTGTTGTGCCTGCTGAAGATTTGTTCCCTGACCCCTGCTTGACCACAGGGCACACAGTAGGTGCTCTATGATGCCAGTTTTGCAATCTCCATGGTGCCCAGTCCAGAGCAGGGCTAAAAAATAAAATGTTAAACTTATGGTGAGTATATGATGCTAGCCCACTTTAGGGAGTGATTAATATGGGCCACCTATTCCACACTTGATTTACGCATTAATTCTGAAAAATAGGAACCACCACATGTTGCAGAGGAGGAAACTGAGGCTTAGAGCTGAGCGCTCAGGTTCGCCTGGGGGAGGGCCTGGGAGTGCAAACGTGGGTTGAGCGTGACATGTAGCCTGTGCCCCTAGCCCCTCTCTGTGCCACTCGCTTTCACATGACCTGGCCTTGAGCAGCGAGGCGTTCCTCCTTCCCAGGCACTGAGGGCAGAGCCTGGCGGTGGTCATGGGTACAGACCCTGCAGGCAGACTGCTGGGCTAAGAACCTCCGCTCTGCCCGCGCCTAGCTGTGGGCCCTGGGCCAGTTACCTAGCCTGTCTAGAAGTCAGTTTCCTCATCTGTGAAATGGGGAGGGTCTTAGCTCCCACCTCCTATGGGTTTGGGGAGAACTTGATGAGGCAGGCAGAACCCATCCGCAGGGTCATATGACATGGGTGTGGCTGTGAGATGTGGGTGGCAGGCAGCCTTCTTACACCCTGCTGGCGCTCCCTGGAGTTTCGCCATCTGGCTTCTGGTATCAGCTTCAGAAATCAATTCTTTTATTTTATTGATTTTTTACAGAGAGGAAGAGGAGAGGGATAGAGAGTTAGAAACATCAATGAGAGAGAATCATCGATCAGCTGCCTCTTGCACACCCCCCACTGGGGATGTGTCCGCAACCAATATATAATACATGCCCTTGACCGGAATCGAACCTGGGACCTTTCAGTCCGCAGGCCGATGCTCTATCCACTGAGCCAAATGGGTTTTGGCTCAATTCTTTTTAGAATGTAACCTTCAACCCTCTGGACAAGGAGCTAATGAGACATCTGGGTAGATGTGCTGAGGATTTGTTCTCACTGGCATTTGGGCGCCTCTGTGCCCTCTCACAGTGGGGGTGTCTCCTTGCAGGCGGGAGCAGCTACTCTTACACCCTGCAAGGCCCCCTTCAGCGGTCGGAGCCGGGCACAAGCATCCAGTTGAAGTACACATCCTCTGGGTTCCACACACAGCACGTCACAGTGGCCTGGCTGAAGAACAACCACACGCTGCCGAACGCCCAGACCAGCGTCCACCTCAGCAGAGACACCTACAACGTGAGCAGCAGTGTGCAAATCCCCCTGCAGGCTGGGGACGTGCACTCCCAAGTCTTCTGCCTCGTCATGCACAAGTCGAAATTGGCTTTCCAGAAAGTCATCAACCTGGACCAATACCTCCGTGGTAAGCAGCTTGTTTTGTTTCTCATTGTCCAGCCAGGCTGGTTGGGGTGTGGATGTCTCTGAGCCCCCGTTTCCTCATCTGAAAGCGGCCCATCCCTCCCTTGCTTGTGGCAAAGATTCAACCCAATGATCCCTGCGGAGCACATGCCTTGTTCATATTAATCATGCAGAAATGGCCGCTGTTACTTTTTCTTATAATTACCATTCGCAGCATCTCTCAGAACTCAGTTTTCTCATTGGTAAAACGGAGTCAAAATCCTCCCAGGAAAAAATCATAAATTTAATTTTATTATTATTTCTATGAAGAGAAGGTAAAGGGCTTTGAAACATATAAATTGAAGAAGCTAATGATGTCTTCTGATCACTGCCCATTACTTTGTGCTCAGGCAGGGTCGTGTGGCACAGGTGTGGCTGTGAGCTGTAGTTGGCAGGCGGCCTTCTCATTGCTGGGCTCCCTCGGGTTTCTTCATCAGGCTTAGGGGCCTAATTTTTCATCTGATATTTTTGGTCGGTTTTCCTGGCTTGAATCAATTCTTGACCGGTGTGTAAATTGAGTGAGGTCGTAGTATATCATGCCTGGAGGAAGTCTTAGTGATCGCCCATCCTTTTTTTTGTTTGTTTGTTTAATATATTCTATTGATTTTTTACAGAGTGGAAGGCAGAAAGATAGAGAGTTAGAAACATCAATTAGAGAGAAACATCGATCAGTTGCCTCCTACACACTCCTTACTGGGGATGTGCCTGAAACCAAGGTACATGCCCTTGACCGGAATCAAACCCGGGACTCTCAGTCCACAGACTGATGCTCTATCCACTGAGCCAAACTGGTTTTGTCATGATTGCCCATTCTTTTCTTTTTTTTCTTTTTCTTTTTTTAATATATTTTTATTGATTTTTTTACAGAGAGGAAGGGAGAGGGATAGAAAGTCAGAAACATCGATGAGAGAGAAACATCAATCAGCTGCCTCTTGCACACCCCCTATTGGGGATGTGCCCGCAACGAAGGTACATGCCCTTGACCGGAATCGAACCTGGGACCCTTTAGTCCACAGGCTGACGCTCTATCCACTGAGCCAAACCGGTTTCAGCATGATTGCCCATTCTTAATGACAACTCTAAAGCTTTAGAGAAGGCCAGTGAGTGGTCCAAGGGAGACAGCAGTGAAATTAATTCCTCACATATCTATAAGACTTTGAAGTGTACAACATATTTTCCTCTTTGTTTTGTGTGCTCTCATCATGGAAGTAAGCACATCACTTTCTATCACTATTGGCAGTAATGTCTCAGATGAGCACAGCACATGGTCGGAAAACACAGCCATGTGGGTGACTTATTTAACATGCATAGCTGCCTGCTGCTGTTCATCCCCTTGGTGGTTTACAGAAGGAAGTGGAGGTCCAAAGCTGGGAAGCCTTCCTGAGTTTGTGGAGCTGGCGAGGGAGGGGCCTTGGACGTGAACTCTGGCTTGACTCTGCTGCTCAGGAGCTGTGGGATCTCCTGCTAGTTACCCACATTCTCCCAGCTTCAGTGCCTTGGCCTGTAACATAGGGACCAGATTATCTGAGTATTTATTATATGCACTGAGTGGCAAATTATTATGATCTCTGAATGCATAATAATCTGGCCACTCAGTGTATATCCTATATAATAAAAGACTAGTATGCAAATTGTCCCCCTTAACCAGGAGTTCTACCAGCAGGCAGGACAGCCAACCACCCATGTCCCCGCCCCCTGGCCAGGCTAGCCAGACCCACCCATGCACGAATTCATGCACCAGGCCTCTAATATTATATAGTATTATGAGTGGCCATATTATTATGCATTCAGAGATCATAATAATCCGGCCACTCAGTGTAGTTCTCTGCAGTTAGGACAATTGTGCAGAGAAGCAAAAATCATAGAAAATGCAGTTTTCACAGATGAATTGATTACTTACAAAACCAGGCCCCACTCAAGAGCCCTTCTTGCTCAACAGGGCCTGCATCTCAGGTTGGGTTTCCTGTCACAGAAATGTGTTTGTGGGTGTCTTTATCTGGGTTCTCTTGAAAGCAGAACCTGCAACCAGGAGTTGGGTGCAAGTAGAATAAGAGAAAGAGATAGGGAGGGTGGGATACATAAGAGAAAGGGGGGATATTAAACTGGGTGTCCCAGTGAATGACTGAAGCTCACGCCACTGGGGACTCTAAGGAATGCATGAGCTGGGTGCCATTTCATGGATATACAGGAATCTTGAGGCAGAGAATCAGGAAGACATTTGAGTGTGAGATGGGAAATGGCACCACCCAGCCCCACCGCCAAGCACTGAGACAGTCAGTTAGCGAAGGCCTATGGGAGCCCAGTAACCCTCTGCTCCAGGAGGTGGGTCTTGCCTTGATTGAAGTGTGGCAAACATCAGACCATACTGTGCACACAGAATCCACACCCATTGCAAAGGGAAATCAGAGATCTGGCAAAAGTTACTTCAGAACATTGACTCAAATGATGGGGAACCTCTGAGATCATGGGCAATGCCTCTAAGTGGTTAAAGATGGGGAAAGAAAAATCTATCGTTCTAACAATTCTATGGACACTTCAAAAGAGAACACTTTGATTAAAAAGAGGCCACTGTGAAAATTGATAGCACCCTCGAATAATTTTTCAAAATTTCCTCTTAATGATTGTGCTGTAAAATGTGAAATTTAAAATGATGAATTAGTTGAGACTGAAGTATATGGTTCTGGGAAAAAATTATGCCAACTTCCTTACACTCCCAAGAGTTGTCCCTTCTAAGAGTTTGGTGCAGAGTTTTGAAAATATCCCATACTTAATTTAAAACGTAAGTTAACAAAATTATTTTTATTATTGAAATTTTTTTCAAGGTGTAGTTTCAACCAATTCCTTTGTAGCAGTTTCTATGAAAGCAGACCCTGAACCTATTTTGCATAGGTTCCTTCTGAGCTGCTTTTTATTTTGTTTTTCCTGACACCAAGTAGCTTTCTGTGTTTATCTCATTGTGTTTTGTGAGTATTAAATGAGATAACACATACACACGGCCTCTGTGCTTGGGTCTCTATCCTCCCCATACTGCCATGGACACTGGAGAGCCAGGGAACTTGCTGGTGGCTGGAATGGGCCATCTGAGCATCTCCATCTTTTTGTTGGATCTTGCCACCACGTAGAGCCATGACACTTGCTTGGTGGTACCTTAGCCTGGACTGTTCTCCGTAGATAGCATCCTAGTTACCAGCCCTTCATCATCCTGGGTTTCTCTTTCTCAGGGTCCTGCTCTCTGCTTGGTATGAATTCCTGCTTGTGTGCTGAAGGGGAAAGACGGAGTATAGACATGACCTTTAGGGAATGTTCTACCCATTGATAGCATTTAATAGGTCTGGGCTGTTCTACCCATTGATAGCATTTAATAGGTCTGGGTGGGTTGAATATGGAGAAAGCATATTTCGGGGTCAGATGCCCTTAGTTCCTTCAAGTTGCACAACACAAGGAGTTACTTTCTTACTCTAGACCCAGAATTAAGGTTTGTCTTCACTGGCCTTGTGAGAGCTGATCTACCTTAGACAAAACTTACAATTTAAGATTCTTGAAAACAAAGGGGAAGTGACTTACACAAGGTCTGGCAATTGGCTATGGTGTCAGTGTAGAGGCCAGAATCTGGATCTCCCATCCTTTGATGTAGTGTTAGAACTATACTATGTTGTGTGTTCATATGAATCGTCTCAAAATATTTCATGTTTTATCGTATTTAAAAAATTTTCTCATTATGAGTACATTCTATTGCACAGCTGAAAATCTGGTTGAAAAAAGTCTAGAAGTCATTAGATCGAAATTTCAGAAGCCAGGAATCTTAAATGCTACAGCCTTAAAGTTTGGGTGTCAGAATAGCATACTAGTAAAGCATACTGTCTCTGACAGCCCCAGCTACTCGTGGCCTTGTGCAAGTTGTGGCAGGCATGTCACTTAACCTCTCCAAACCCATGTTCCCTCCCAAGTGAAACCTTAGTATCTTGAGTCATAAAGATTTAGAGTGTATGAATCTTTCAATCTTAGCATTACCAAGTTATAGATTAGTCAACTGGTTCATAGATTCTAAAATGGAATTCAAACCTCATTGTATCATCTTTAATGACCAGAATGGAAAAGAGAGGAATGATTAGAATGGCTTTCATCTTTTCCATTCATTCTTCCATGCATCCATCCATCTATCCAAGCATGCATTCCCTCATGCATTCACACTCTTATTCATTCATCATGCATTTCCTTATGCATCTGTGGACCCATATATACACCCTCCTCTGCAACAGGCCCTGGGAAGATGACCCATCCCCAAGGAGCTCTCGGCTCCTGATGTAGACTTCCTAGAGTAATTGTCTGCTTTCTCTGGCCTGTGTCAGTTTCCCCTGCAGTGACAGTGTCCCAGGCTTCCCTGTCCTCGGACTTGGTGTCAATTACTTGCCACGTGCAGAGATTCTATCCACAAACTTTACATCTCACCTGGCTGGAGAACTGCGATACATTCAAGGGAGCTGAGCTACCCACCCCCAAGAAGAATGCTGATGGGACTTATAGCACGGAAAGCTTGCAATGGGTGAATGCATCAACACAAGGATCTGAGAGGGTATTCACCTGTAAGGTACAGCATGAGGCACAGCCTCCCATCTGGGCCAACCTCATACTGTCACCAGTAGCCCACGGGACATACAAACCCATGGAAAGCCCAGGTAAGCTCACCTCATTTCCTAGGAGCAGCTCAGTCACCTCCCTCTCTTTAGTGGATCCCAAAAGGCATAGGGAGGGGGCGTAATGGTTAAAGTCTTGCCCAACTTAAGAGTCTGTGATGACTTGATAACCAAATTGGTTCCTGGCCTGCCTCTTACTTTAGATGTGGCCATTATGAAAGGTTCTTTCATTTCTGAGGAGAGAACAGTCTCCCAGCTCAACCTCCTTGGAAATTCCCAAGAGAGCTCAGCTTAGGATGCTCGCTAGTTATTCTGAGATGGTCTTTAGCAATGATCTCTTGTTAAAATAGTGTCTTTGGGTTATATGAAGAGACTTGTCCACCAACCTTACTCCATGAAGCCCATGATGTCTGCTCTAATGACAGAGCAGGCTCTTTCACTATATTCTTGTTCGGGTACTTAACCTCTCTGTGCTTCCGTTTACTCATCTGTAGATGAGTCTAATGTAGTGTAGATGGGTCACTGGAAGGCTCTTAACTAATAGAGTCCTTATGAGGACTAAGTGAATTAATATATGCAAACTCTGTGTATATGTCTACAATAAATGTCAGCTACTTATTACTACTTGAATTTCAACAAAATTATTTTAAAGGTTAGTTTACAGTAATTATAGCTTTGTAAACTCAGGGGACTGAGTCAATTATTCTCTCAGAGCCCCCAGGTAACTCATCTATAAATGGTACTAATGATGCTAATCTCCTGAGATTATATAAAAGTTCAATTTGAATGACCACAGGCCTGGAGGACTCCCAGCTTTAGACTTCTAGAGGTTTTTACCTCTGGACATTGACACTTTAGCTGACTGTGTGACAGATGTTCAAAATCAGTATTTGTTGACTTGCATTCAAGGTGAGGCTAAAAGATCAAGATCATCACTTATTTCCAAGAGGAAGCTGAGTGTAGAGAAAGGAACATGGGCTTGAAACCAGATAAGAATTGGGTGCCATTCGTGGTTCTGAAACTCCCTGGCAGCATGACATCAGAGGAGGTGTTTAAACTCGCAGAGCCCCAGTTGATGTCTCCTTCTACCCGTTTGGTATTTAGGTCCAGAGACACCTGCCCTTATCTTTGTGGCTTTCCTCCTGGGCTTTAAGGTGCTGCTGGTGATGAGTTTCACCGTCACCTACATCCACAGGTGGTGGAACCTATGACAGGTAACTTGGGGGCAGGCCTCAGTCATGAGGGTGGGAGGTCAGAGCCATTGTCAGGGGCTGGCAAGTGGCGTCCAGGGCACACCCGCTAAGTCACATGGTCCCCACAAGGTGATCCAGCCTCAAGAAAAATTTGTGAACACTTATTTTCTCCAAACGTCTCTTGGAATTCTAAGAGCTTTTAACTCTCATGCATTTTGTAGTGCCCTGGAGTTTGAAGGAATTCAAATTAAGTTCCTTGGGGCCCCAGAGAGTACAAGTGGGACAAAGGCCAAAGTTTTGAGACCCAAACTTCAAAGAGTCCCTCCCCCATAAACTACTATATATTTTGGTTTTTATATATCTTTGGGATGAATAAGAAAATATTGGCAAAATCAACTAGTAGAACTTTGCAGGAGCTGACTAGTGGCAGGAAATGGGAGAGAGTTCAGATCTCAGAAAGAAGTGTTGGGGCTGTAGTTTTTAAGGGCTTCATTTCTGATCTACATCATGAACCCAGGCCAACCAGAATGCCTGTCACTTAGCTCAATAAATGTTTATGGAATGAATGAATGAATGAATGAATGCTTTCCCTACAGCTCATCCCTGCTCTGTGATACATTGCCTCCTGCCTTCACCAAAGGGCTCAAGGACCTGCAAGAAGGAAGAAGCTGCAGGACCTGCCCCTTCCCCAAGACCCCTGCTCCTCACTCTGCCAGCCCCAGCTGCACCAGGAGCTTCCTCCACACACCCTCTTGATGTTGTTTCTCTCTGATAATAAAGCTGAGTCCAGGATGGGCTTTGGTCATGGAGACTCAGGAATGCCTGGACCTCGATGCATCGAGCTTCACACTGGCCCTGCCTCCACCCAAACCAGAACCGAGAACAAGAAGAGACCAAGTTTCACCTCCCCTGATCATAAACAACTCAATATTCGGAGCAGATTTCACTTTTACCCAGAGCTTCTGCCAGTATACTTTTATTTTAGCAAACAAATTTTGAAATCGCCAAGTTGAATAAGCATTTTACTATTTTGAAATTATTAAGAATATTAACGGTATCCATGGACCTACCATCTCTCTTTGCCAATCATTCACATATTGCCATTATGTTCTCTGTTCCTTTGGAAAACACTATCCTAAATTGTGCGTTAATCATTTTTTAGCATGATTTTATACTTTTACAACATATATGTAAGTCCTTAAGCGATATTTAATATTTCTTTGCATGTTTTAAATTTTATGCAACGGCTATCATACTGTACACAACATTCTGGAACTTTATTTGTATGCTTCACACAATTTTGTGTGTTTTAATAATGTTGACATATGTATCTCCACTTTATTAATTTTCCACGCTCTACACTTTTCTATTATAAGATATGCTGCAATTTACAGATTCTTCTCAAGATGGTAGTAAAGCTCTATCTAGGGATTTGCTAGTCCACCTGTGCAGCCAACATTCTATCTTAGCTTCCCTGGCACATGTGCAGAGCCTTCTGGTCCCTCTTGTTTGGGCCACGAGCAGCAGTGTTGTTATCATTTGGGAGCTTTTGGTTTATAAAGAAAAGTTTTCTGTGTTTGATCGAGTTTTGCTCTTTGCGTGTCCGCCTTTGACCTAGCCATGTTTTTCTGGTGTGCATGTGTGTGTGAATTAGAAGTGGTAAGTCTTTCGTTCAGTTGCATTTGATGCCAAACATTATTAGTTTCAGGTGTACATTATAGTGGTTAGACATTAATATAATTTACAAAATGATCCCTCCAATAATAGAGTTCACACCTGGCTCCATTCATAGCTATTACAGTGCTATTGACTGTGTTCTATTCCCTAAGCTGTATTTTATACATCCCCGGGACTATTTTGTAACTACCAATTTGTACTTCTTAATCCCTTCACCCTTTTCACTCAGCCCCCTGACCCTGTCCCATTTGGGCACCATCAGTTTGTTCTTTTTCTTCCACAAAGGTTATTCACCCAGCACTCAAGGACTGGCGCTGCCACCTTTGCCGTAGATCCAGTTTCCATAACTATGTGGTTTTCTTTGTGAGGTTTCTGTTGTGTTGAGCTGCTTGTCTGTCTCTCTGTCAGAACAATCCTGTCTTACTTAGGGAAGCTTTATAATAATTTTGGACCTCTTTTGGGAAAATATTTCTACCTTTTCTTGTCAGGTTATTGTTGACCCAAATGCATTTTAGAATGACTTTGTCAAGTTTCACCAAAAAGTCCTTTTAGAAACATTATATATTTGTATTGGATTTATATAGTATCGATATTAATTCAGACAAACTGATGTTAACGGGAAAAAAAAACACATTGAAACCTGTAAAGAATTTTTGTGAGTTTATTTGAGCCAAATTGTAGACATGTGCTGGGGAAGCAGAACCTCAATGGATTGAGATAAATGCTCCGAAGAATGGCGGATTACATTTCTATATTTATACATTGCAATCAAAGGAAAGGGACGTAGGTGAGTTACATGAAATTCATTGGTGATAGATTAGGGAGGTGGGACAGAGCGAAGCGGGGAAACCTCTGGGATAGGGTAAAAGGTGAAATGATGGACATGAGCTTCTTTTACAGGGATGGACACAGGATACTTTAACATAATTAACAGCTGACAATTAACTTGATAACAAAAACAATGAGGGAATGTCTTGAGACCATTTCTTGTGCCCTGAGGGGTCTGGGTAAAAAGGAAGTTACATGCCGAAACCGGTTTGGCTCAGTGGTAGAGCATAGGTCTGCAGACTTAAAGTTCCAGGCTCGATTCCCGTCAAGAGCATGTACGTTGGTTGCGGGCACATCCCTGGTGGGGGTTGTGCAGGAGGTGGCTGGTCGATGTTTCTCTCTCATCGACATTTCTGGCTCTCTATCTCTCTCCCTTCCTCTCTGTAAAAAATCAATACAAAATATTTATTTAAAAAAAAGGAAGTTACAAGTTACCCAGACAGCTCACAGATAAGTTATCTTAGAGGCCAGAAGGCAGATGGGCTCAGTAAAGAAGATCTTAAGTTGATCTTTGTCAGGTGAAATATCCGGGACACTATAACCTGTTTATAGTTAGATATTTAATTTTCAAACCTTAAAATCTTTTTTTAAATATATTTTTTATTGATTTTATACAGAGAGGAAGGGAGAGAGATAGAGAGTCAGAAACTTTGATGAGAGAGTGTCATCGATCAGCTGCCTCTTACACACCCCCTGCTGGGGATATGCCCGCAACCAAGGTACATGCCCTTGACCGGAATCGAACCCAGGACCCTTCAGTCCCCAAGCCGACGCTCTATCCATTGAGCCAAAGCGGTCCCAGCCTAAACCTTAAAATCTTTTGTAGTTATTTTAGGTCTCTGAGTTTGTAAGACTGCCACGCAGGCCTTCCCTGAGCCTGTCAGGTTAGCATGTGGCTCTTTTCTTTCACACTGATGTGTTTTCAATATCGAGTTTTCCCATTCATGAATATAATGTACCTCTATTTAGGTTTTAAAAGGCTTTTAATTTACAATTTCATGTGTCTCCTCACCCCCATAATGCTCTTATGCATCTCTAATTAGAGCTATCTCTTAACACTTTTTAGTTTGTAGAATCTTTTAAAAGCATAATTACTGTTTTTAGTGGTTTTTAACTACTCTTTAGGATGGTAATTGATTGTGATCAACAACCTTACAACCAACACTTACAAAACTCTTACTAATAATAATAGTATGGGCATTCTTTTTATGTTTAACTCTTTTTAAAATATATATATTAATTTTAGAGAGGAAGGAAGAGGGAAGGAGAGATAGAAACATCAATGATGAGAGAGAACCATTGATCAGCTGCCTCCTGCACAATCAGGGATGGAGCCCACAACCCAGGCATGTGCCCTGACAGAATCAAACTGTGACCTCCTGGTTCATAGGTTGACACTCAACCATTGAGCCACTGCAGCCGAGTTATGTTTAACTTTTAAAACGTTAATCTAATTATCAAGAGTTAGTTTCTACATTTATCTAAGTGGTACATATGCACATGGCTCTGCAAAGTTCTACATGTAAAAACTAGTCTCCCTAACCTCCCACGATTTTCTGCCTCTCAGAGGCAACCATTTCAGCTCTCTTAACTAATTATTTCAGCTTTTGCTGCCATACCTCATGTAGTGTGCTTCTATTTCACTTCTTGGTTTTTCTCTCTCAGGCATTATTTATGGACTTCCCACTGAGGAAGATGGGGTCACAGGGTCTGTTACTCTTGACCTCATCACACACACACACACACACACACACACACACACACACACACACATTCTGTTCCCTATCACCCTACTGTCATTATGTCATCATTTTGGGTAACCGAATAGGCCGTGTCTACATCATAATGACCATTAGATCGGCATTTACTGCTGAAACTTGAAACAGTCCCTTCTTTGCTAGGTTGAACCCTCGTGTGTATGTTCGTGAGCCCCCCACCAGGATGCAGACCACATTGGTCTCCCAGAGCAAGCCCTTCATAGTGACCCCATCCTCACTGTACCAAACCTCTCAAATGTGAATCTGCTCTCCACTCTGTAATTTCCAGGATGTGGTATATGTGGAATCACGCAGTCTGTGACATTTTGATATTGATTTTTGTTCACCCAACAGAATGCCTTTGAGAAACTTACAAGTTGTCGCACATGTAAATACTTCATTCCTTTTCATTGTTGAGTAGGACTTCCATGTATGAATGCACCAGTTTGTTTTACCATTCACTTATTATTGGACATTTTCACTGTTTCAAGTTTTTATTTTATTTTATTTTACTTTATTTTATTTTATTTTATTATTGCAAAGAAAGATGCTATAAACATCATGCACAGATTTTTGTGTGGACATAAGATTTCAAATGTCTGAGATAAATGCCTAGGAATGTAATTGCTAGGTCATAGAACATACTTCCTTTCCCCAAAAAGTCAGGATACTATTTCTTTTCTAGGGTGGAAGCCCATATCAGTTCTGAGGTCTACCTTACACTTGCATTTGGGCTAGGTTTTACCAGCTTCCTCAATAAAGGAGTCATTCAGGAGCAGACCTGTTCCATCCCAAGGCTGGCCAGGCTTTAGTGAACCCTCATCTTTCCTCCAGTTGAGTAGATCTTGCTGAGACTGAAGGAGATGAGGCTATAAGCTGGCAATATCCCATGAAGACCTCATACTGGCTGAGGAACCAGTGGAGAGCAGAGGCCCTGAGCACTACTTCCTGGGGGCATGTCCAAGTCCCTCTGAGATCTAAGAAAAGTAACTCCTCACCCAGTGGTTGCTTCCCTGACTGATTATTTCACAATCTAGAAGCAGGAACTGTTTAGAATATGTACAGAGGCTGGCTACTGTGTCACAGCCTTCTCACCCCTTCCTAGAATGCTTCCTCTTATATCACACAGCTGGGGCTTCTCACCCTTCCTAGAATGCTTCCTCTTATATCACACTCCTCTCACAGAGAGAGTCCGGGATCTCCGCGCACACACTTGGACACAGCGGCCACTCAGGCTTCCAGGATGCCCTTCCCTGCCTCCTGGCCCTGCCCTCCTCCCTGCCTGCTGCTGACTCTCCTGCTGGGCCTCCCAGGTGAGCACTCCTTGGGCTGGATGACTGGCAGCTAACAGATGCTAGCATGAGCAGGAACCTGGTTGAAGAAGTAGCTTTTACTTCTTGCTTTCCCACAATCTGCTGAGCTTCAATCATTAACTTCTTCAGCTGACTCCATGTTGGCACCACAGTCCCTTGCGTAGCTTTCAGTTTTCTGCAAAGTCTTGCGCAGTAAGTCCAAGGACTCTGAGTAAATATACACCAGCAGCAAAAGAGACTTTCTTTCATTTAATAGCTAAAAATGTTACTATGTCCATAGTTCTGATTTCTCATATTGTTGTTTTGCATTGGCATTGTTTTGTTATTATTTAATAGCCAGAGTTTTGCTCTTGACATTCAAGTTTTGAAAATGATAACATGTATGTAATTTAGTTTTTGCATTGCATTGTTTGCAATTGTTTAATTTTAGAGCCCTGTTATTAATGTTTAAATTTTATTTTTATTATAGTAGCTTAAAAACAAAAACAAAAAAGGGTGAGATGTAGAGGGCCGCCTGAGAAGCACATGGACATTCTTTAAATTGTTAGCTGAGCCTGAAGCACTGGCAGAGTACCTTTGTCCAGGTGTCAGCAGTTGCGGGTCTAGATATGTAAATCCAGTTATGCTAGAGCCTACTTAAGAATGCAAATAAGCTCCTTTGACCCTATAAATAAACCTGATGTGTGGCTTGGGGGGTCGCCTTGCTGCCTCTCCATCAGAGAGATGGCGCCCACCTAGCCCCCAGCTTGATGAATCTATTTCTGCCTCTTTGTCTCTTTCTTTTAAGTCAGACCAAGAAGTAAAATATGTGGAATTCCTAATTATCAGAAAAAAAATAACATTTTATTTTCTCAAAAACAATTAATACTTTAAGAAAATTATTAAGCCTCCAAACATACTCAAGATGGTGAAACAGGTTTGGTCTATTCAAATGTAAATTACCGCTTTCTTTAAAGATGGCTACTGGCAGGAACTTGCCTACCTGAAGCTGGCGGGAAGGGCGTGCCACCTCTTCCTCCATTAAAAAAGGATATATCTTTAAAATGTTTTCATGGCCAGAAAAAACTTTAAACTTTCAGAACTTTAAACTTTTCAGGTAGCAAATCAAATACTTAGCATTTTCTCAAATCAATAATACTTTTACATTTTTAAGGATACATTTCAAATAAAATAAAAGGCATATTTAATTAATAGGCTAACTTTTATCTTCTAGACTTCATGCAAGGCATACTCAGATCAACATTTCAGTATTATAACAATTCAATACATTTAGATTTAAGTTTTTATCATTTGATTTAGTAACCTTCCAAGTTCTTTTAAATTTCCAGCCAATTGGCCTGGCACAGCTGTTAACTATTTTTTAATATATTTTATTGATTTTTAACAGAGAGGAAGGGAGAGAGATAGAGAGCTAGAAACGTCGATGAGAGAGAAACATCGACCAGCTGCCTCTTGCACACCCCTCACCAGGGATGTGCCCACAACCAAGGTACATGCCCTTGACCGGAATCGAACCTGGGACCTTTCAGTCTGCAGACCTAAGCTCTACCACTGAGCCAAACCGGCTTTGGCCAGCTGTTAATTTTTAAAAGAATTTTCCTGCTGGGGAAGTCAAGAGATAAACTTTCAGCCATTCATAAGTAATCTTGCTATCTACTTCCTATTGTTTACTTGCCTCAGAGTGGGAAATTTCAAAAGAGCTTATTTTAATTCCTGGGGAAATTAGCTTTAATTTTTCTCCCAGGTTCATCTCCGCCATCTTTAAAGCTAAAAAGTTTATTCTGTACACAGCAAAGAGTCAAGCCCAGCTCAAAAACTATGCGCACTCATTTTTAAACTGGCCTTTTCGCTTTACATGAGCACAGAAATCCCCGATGCATTTATGAATTTGTAAAAGGTTTAAGTCACTAGCTGGAAAAAAAGATGGAGAATACGAGGCTCTTATGGCGGCTTTCTTGGGGGGCAGTGTCCCTATTGGATTGCCACGTGTCTCCCTCCCCCCATCTCCTTGTTTCTTAGGGGGAAGATTCAGTAATGGTCTGGCTTCTGCTGTTTTTATTTTTTCAATTTTTATTTATTTATTTATTTTTAAGGGGAAAAAAAGATTTTTAGATAAAGAATTATTGGCAGTTGCTGAGAAATTCCTTTAATCTTTTCTACTAGGGTACAAGTAGTTTACACTTGGAGTTGGAGGAGGTGCAGATGGTATTCTTAAAGATTCGCGCCCTTCCACTCCAGGCTGTAAGGCCATGGCTGCACCCCACTTAGACATTCTTAAACTCTCCTGTGCTGAATCAAGATCATCACCAATTAAAATGGGAATTTTCTCTGGACTTTCTGCTGGGTATTGGTCATGCAACTCCTTTCTAATCTTTTCCCAGGTTTCATCAACAAAACTTAAGAAAGAAATAAAAAATTTGACTATGCTTAACAGAGCATCTATGAACTTTGAGCATAGTCTTAACTTATAAGGATTACCCAATGTTTTACACCTACCGTGTTTCCCTGAAAATAAGACATCCTCCAAAAATAAGACCTAGCACATGGAAAGATAAGACATCCCCTGAAAAGAAGACCTAGCGCAACTTTGGGAGAAAAAATTAATATAAGACACTGTCTTATTTTCGGGGAAACAGGTGGGCGCCATCTCTCTGATGAAGAGGCAGCAAGGCAACCCCCCAAGCCATACATCAGGTTTATTTATAGGGTCAAAGGAGCTTATCTGCATTCTTAACTAGGCCCTAGCATTACTGGATTTACATATCTAGACCCGCCCCTGCTGATACCTGGACAAAGGTACTCTGCCAGTGCCTTGGGCTCAGCTAACAATTTAAAGAATGTCCATGTGCCTTCTCAGGCAGCCCTCTACAAGAGCTGCCTGCTGGTGGTCAGTGTATTCCACAAGGGAGCTCCGCTCAGCCACAAGCCAGGCAGAAGGCTGGCGAGTACAGGGGCAGTGGGGGAGCCTCTCCCGCTTCTGAGCAAGCATTAAGGATGTCTGCTGTTATGCCCAGACTTCATGATCCCCAAGGACCACCAGGGAGCTGAGTCCGATGCAATAAACAAAAGAGCCTGTTCCATGCTAGCATGGGCTCCTCCCACTTACGCCGGCAGCATGGCGGAAGAGAGAGCGAATTTCGCCCAGTCTAGAGGTTTTACTCCGGTCGATGGTGATGTCACTGCCTTGGCTAACCCTGATTGGTTGGGTGAGGGCTAGGGATAACTCCGCCCTGTGGGCGGAGTCGAGAGCTCATCCTTGCCCCGCCCTGCCCTTTCATCTGCCAGTCGGACATCCCTTAAGAGCTCCCGAATTGCTAAAACCTGCAGATCGGGCTGAGGAACCCTCTCCTCCCAGTAGTGCCTGAATGCCATGCACCAGGCCTCTATTATAACATGATTTGCTATGTGAAAAAATCTCAGGAACTTGAAACATTGTTTTACTTCTTATTTGAATGACACGTTCACTGTGTATTGGGAGCTCTGTACATCACTGTCACTCAAGAACACAGGCTGCTGAAATTGACCCCATCATGACATGAGGGTCTCCAGGGAAGCAGAAGTTGATCCGTAGAGGTTCTTGTAGTTAAATGCAAATCTCACAAAACTCAGCCATTGTCTTGGCTCACAACTCAGTGGTCTAAAGAAGTCTCCTGGTCCCAGCTGACAGTGGTCTACAAGTACGATACTCCATGGGGCCAGAGAGTGAAAACCAGAAATATTTGGGGAAGCGTGACCCTTCCAGAGATGACATGGCACTTAAATGCACCCTTTTTAAAAAAATTCAATGTTAATCATTTATTATCATAAGGACAATACAGATGACATCTTTTCGGTTCACCATTACATTCATGCTATGATAGCAATGCTTCCTCTATTATTAATGCTACTTAATCCTTTAAAAACACATTATTTATGTTCTGGCTGGCTTGATCATTTGGTTGAAGCATCTTCCTGATACACCGAGGTTGCGGGTTCAATCCATGGCTATTACACATACAAGAATCAACCAATTGATGCATAAATAAGTGAAACAACAAAATGATCTCTTTCTTGCTCTCTTAAAACAATAAATAAATAAAATAAAACATGTTACTTACTCTGCTTGGATATTTGAGCATGATTAATAAAATAAAAGATTATAAGATATTCCAAAATTTTTTACTAAGTGAGGTATCTAGTTTTTTACAACTTAAACTCCCCTTTCCATTTTAATAATGGAAACAATGTAATTATTTCACTACTTGATATTAAACAATAACAAGGTTCAGGCATTTGGTTTTTTTAGTGAATAGAGAATATTACAAAGAGTTTCATTTTCCTTTCTTACTTATGACTATGTAGCACTTTTCATCAGAACTTCCTCTGTGAAGAACAGCCCCCAAATGAAGAATGATCAGGGCTCAGGAGCAGCAGGTGATGCTAAGTCCTGTGGGGAAGGACAGGTCCTGCCTCTGGGGGTGCAGGGTCATCTGGAGATGAAGCATCCTGATGTCTGGATGCAGCGGGTTTCCTAGGAGCTCCTGCCCAGATGGTGCTCATCTGTTTGGCTCTCTTCACACGCCCATTCGTTCCTCCTTCTCCATCCAGAAACAAGCGTGTTTCTTTACAAACCTGGCCATCTGCAGGTTTAATGGGGACATATCCCATTCAGGCCATTGAGATTCACTCCCTAGTCCAGCACCTGTGGCTTCTCTAAGTTTTCTTTCAGTGCCCGAGGTCCACAGAACACAGGCAGCCGAGTCCATTCGTCCTTAAAGCTTCTGATTGCTTCCCTTTCTTTGTTGGTAAACTTTCTTTCATACTCAGAAGGCATTCTGAAGCTGAGCCATGACCTGGTTCAATTCCAACTTGTAGCTCAGGTTCAGCAGCAAGTACCACCCAGTCCCTTTAACGAGAGACATTAAAGATGAAACTGGGTAAGGATTTGGTGAGGCTCTTGCAAGCACTGGTTTCCTTTTGCAGTTCTCTGCAAATGAATGTTATTCCCAGGGATGTGCTACTTCTCTGCATCAACTTCCTCATCATCACACGACCAGCCATGGCTGCCTTGGTATTCCTGCAAAGACGAACTCCTTAGATGGCTAATGGTACCGCCAGTAGCCATTCTGTTCTGCTGGGCAGCCAAATGTTCCAGAAAAAGGCCCAGCAAGCCCATTGTTGGCACCAAACAGAACCACTTGATGAGGTAAAACTTAAACTCACTCTTTGCAACATCAAATTATCTCTCATAACTCAGTTTCCTTGTTTGTTATAGGTTCTCAAATTACAAGTTGGTTGTGAGGGTTACATGTATGACACATGCAATGTGCCGGGCTGAAGACCCACTCAGGTGTGCACTCGGTGATGAAAGCTGGTATTGATAAATACTGACCCAGGCCACAGGCTCCCATATGCTGAGTAACCGCTCTGTGCTTCCCTCAGGAGGGGCAGGTGAGGAGCTGCAGGTGATTCAGCCTCAGACGTCAGTGTCCGTCGCAGCTGGAGAGACGGCCACTCTGAGCTGCACTGTGACCACCATATTCCCGGTGGGGCCTGTCAGGTGGTTCAGAGGGACAGGGCCAGGCCGAGAGTTAGTCTATAATTTCAGTGGAGGCCAATTCCCCCGAGTAACAAGTGTTGCAGACACCACGAGGAGAAACAACACGGACTTTTCCATCTGCATCAATAACATCACCCCAGCAGACACAGGGACCTACTACTGTGTGAAATTCCGGAGAGGAATCGCTGATAATGACAAGGAGTTCAAGTCTGGAGCAGGCACTCAGCTCAGCGTGAGTGGTGAGTACAGGGGGTTCCTTTGTCCCTCGTGTGTGACAACAAGTCAGTAAGGACGACTTCCATCTTTGAACAAAAACTAAGGGTCAGGTGTGGAGGTGGCTGCTTATAGTCATGATCTGATTCCTGGTCTGATTTCACCGTCTGCAGACCAGGGCAGCTGAGGCCTGGAGATGTCATGCTATTTGGTCAGCCACCACGGCTGGTCAGTGGTGGGGAAAGTCTGGAGCCCCCGCTGGTCTGGCTCCCCAGCCTGGGCCTTTCAATCCTGTCAGCCCCTTGGTTACACGGATGAGGGAACTGATGATCTGAGTGACTTGCCCATCACAAGATCAGACCTCACCACCTCCAGAGAGTGCTCCCTCCATGAGGCCGAAGTTCCTCCTTAGTGACACCCACTGGGCACCTGCTGTGAGCCAGGCTCTGCACTGGGTGCTGAGGCAGCTACAGAACAAAGCAGACAACAGCTCTTCCCCTCGAAGCTCCGTTCTCTGCCTCCAGTGGGAGGAACTCACTAGGGCAGAGAGTAGAGAAGGTGCTGCTTCCTCTCAGCCTCAGAAACATCCCAGGAGAAGGAAATCCTGAGAGGCCCAGACTCCTGTTCACTCTGACAGCCCTGCTGGAAGGAGATGCCCAGAAGGGGGCGATCATGGTGGGTCTGCCAGGAAACCCCCTTTATTCCAGAATCCCAGTCGCTGTCAGGAAGCCTCCCAGCAGAGTTGGGTCATCTCAGAATGTCCCTCACCCATTGAAGATGCTCCCCATGTGGGAGACTTAGGGGTCGCCCCATTGAGGCAACACCGTCCTCATTGAGGGTGTTTTACCAGAGGCCACGGATCCTGAATCCTGGACTGTGAGCACACAGGGACCTTTAGACCCTCCAGTCTGATTCCCCGAGTACATTGGGGCCCCTGAGGTCAAAAGGTGACTGAGATTTGCCCAAGATTACATGGCCAGTTATTAAGAGTGTTCCAGAACACCAACTGATTTTAGCAGCTTTTTCCTGCATCAAAAACAGACACTATTTCCATTAAAAAAATAAAAAAAAATAAAATAAAAAAAAAAAAAAAAATAAAAAAAACCCTGGTGAATGCAGCTCACTGAATAAAGCGCAGTACAGCACAATACTGAACAGGCAACCAGCAGCTCTTATGTTCACTGGTATCCATATCTTCACATGCCCCTCACTCTCAGACTATGGCCCAGGAGTTTGGGACCCTCCCCGTACCTCCAGCCACATCGCCCCAAATCGAGCATCCACATCCACATCGGCACCGAGAGCTGCCCCTCCTCCACCAGCTGCCTCCCCTCCAGCCAGTGGAGATCATTCATTCACTCTCTTCTCTTGATGGGTGTGTGTTGTTTCCAGGTTTGGGCTACTCACACAGTGACACGGGGTACCCTTGTCCACGTGTCACCCTACTTTAGAGGAAGGTGCCCACAGGAAGTGGCATTGCTAGGTCACAGGGTGTGTGCATTTTAATTTGGGGGATATCACCAAGTTTCTCTCCTATACATGGTGGCAACAGGGTCTCCCCACAGTTTCTGGACACAGGCAGGGAAGGTGGCTTTATCCCGAATTTTCAGGTATTACCACACTTCCCAGTAGTGTGTCCCTTGCCTAGGCATCACAGCTGTCAGTGTCTCCATTGCCACTCAGATCTGCTGCCTCCTGGGAGAGAGCTCTGCCCCTTCCCTGAGCTACTTGCCCAGGTGACACCTGCCTGAGAATGCAGGTGGGAGCGGTCAGGGCCTCTGCTCCCTGCAACACCCACTGTGCTTGTCAAAGTGTAGAGGAAGCTCCAACCCTTTTCTTTTTTTGTTTTTAAGTTCTGTTTCATTGGTTGTTTGTTTTTGTTTGTTTGTTTGTTTGTTTTAAATATATATTTTATTGATTTTTTACAGGGAGGAAGAGAGAGGGATAGAGAGTTAGAAACATTGATGAGAATCATTGATCAGCTGCCTCTTGCACACCTCCTACCGGGGATGTGCCCGCAACCAATGTACATGCCCTTGACCGGAATTGAACCCGGGACCTTTCAGTCCGCAGGCCGATGCTCTATCCATTGAGCCAAACCGGTTTCGGCTGTTTGTTTGTTTTTAACAATATGTTTTTATTGATTTCAGAGAAAAAGGGAGAGGGATATAGAGACACAAACATCCATCAAGAGAGAGAAGCATTGATCTGCTGCCTCCTGCACGCCCCCTACTGGAGAAGGTGTCCACATCCCAGGCATGTTCACAGACCCAGAATCCACAGTGATCTCCTGGTTCATGTGTTGATGCTCAACCACAGAGCCACACTGGCCAGACTCTAGTCCTTTTTTTAGAATCATGTTTCCTAGTATTTTTCAAAACAAAAACAAACAAACAAACAAAAAAAACCAACACTTTTTAAAAAGTCCTGGGGGGGGAGGCAGGTCTAGCTTTCCAACTGAGATGAGACAGATCCTCAAGTGTCCCATGACATGGCCTGAAACTATTCCTACAGGACATGGCTCTGCCTATGGAGGCAGTCAGGGGGCCTTTCCCTTCTGTGTGGTGTCTTCCTCACTGGGCAGCCGCAGGAGCAGCCGGGCACAGTGGCCTGGTTGGAGCAGAGAGGGGGCGCTGAGCCCCAGCACCTCAGTGGGCAGCATCCTGGCCCTGCGCCCAGTGAGCAGGAGTTCATATTCTAGACTCAAATCCAGGTGTTATGTTCCTGGGCACAAAATGTGGGAAATTACCTGGAGGGAAAAGTTGGCCTTTGCATGAAGGCCTGGACCTGCTTGTCGGCCCTGTCCCTCACTCAGAGGTCACCTCTGAGGACATGAGTGTCCTCCTTTGCAACATGGGGATGATGACACCCCTCTCAGCATTAATGAAAGATAAAACACAATATATGAGAAGGTTTGACAGTGCCACATGCTTATCATTAGTGGTGATAACCACAGTCAATTCCTTTTTTCTTATCATGTCATGACTTTGTGGCACTTCTCATCAGAACTTCCTCTGTGAAGAAAAACAGCCCCAAAATGAGGCATGATCAGGGTTTAGGAACAGCAGGTGATGCTAAGTCCTGTGGGGAAGGACAGGTCCTGCCTCTGGGGGTGCAGGGTCATCTGGAGATGAAGCATCCTGATATCTGGATGCAGCGGGTTTCCTAGGAGCTACTGCCCAGATGGTGCTCATCTGTTTGGCTCTCTTCACACGCCCATTCTTTTCCTCCTTCTCCATCCAGAAACAAGCGTGTTTCTTTACAAACCTGGCCATCTGCAGGTTTAATGGGGACATATCCCATTCAAGCCATTGAGATCCACTCCCTAGTCCAGCACCTGTGGCTTCTCTGAGCTTTCTTTCAGGGCCCGAAGCCCACAGAACATAGGCAGCCGAGTCCATTCGTCCTTAAAGCTTCTGATTGCTTCCTGGTTTTTGTTGGAAACTTTTCATTCCTACTCAGGAAGCATTCTGAAGCTGAGCCATGACCTGCTTCAATTCCAACTTGTAGCTCAGGTTCAGCAGCAAGAACCACCCAGTCCTTTTAACAAGAGACATTAAATATGAAACTGGGTAAGGATTTAGTGAGTCTTTTGCAAGCACTGGTTTCCTTTTGCAGTTCTCTGCAAATGAATGTTATTCCAAAGGATGTTCTATTTCTCTGCATCAACTTCCGTATCATCAGATGATCAGCCATGGCTGCCAGAGACAAACTGGCTGATGCTCTCATCTCCTGAGGCTGGATGGACTGTACCTCCAGGAGCCAATCCGCTCAGCTGGGCAGCCACAGGTTATAAAAAAAAAAAAAAAAAAAAAAAAAAAAAAAAAAAAAGCAAAGCACACCCCTTCCATTGCTGGCATCAGAACAACTGCTTGATGGAAAGAAACTTAAATATGCTCTTGTTATCTCTCTGTGCCACAGATCCTCATTTGTTATAGGCTCTCACATTACGAGATGGTTGTGAGGGTTACATGTATGACACATGCAAAATGCTGGGCTCAAGGCCCGCTCAAGATGTGCACTCAGTTGATGAAAGCTATTATTGATAAATACTGACCAAGCCCACAGGTCCCCTATGCTGAGTAAATAACCAGTCTGTGCATCCCTCCAGGAGGAGCAGGTGAGGAGGAGCTGCTGGTGATTCAGCCTCAGAAGTCAGTGTCCGTCGCAGCAGAAGAGACGGCCACTCTGAACTGCACCGTGACCTCCCTGCTCCCTGTGGGGCCCATCAGGTGGTTCAGAGGGACAGGGCCAGGCCGGGAGTTAGTCTATAGTTTCAGTGGAGCCAAATTCCCCCGAGTAACAAATGTTGCAGACACCACGAGGAGACACAACTTGGACTTTTCCATCCGCTTCAGTAACATCACCCTAGCAGACACAGGGACCTACTACTGTGTGAAGTTCCGGAGAGGAGTTGATAATGTCTCTGACTTTAAGTCTGGAGCAGGCACTCAGCTCATCGTGAGTGGTAAGTACAAGGAGAGATCAACTTCCATCTTTGAACAAAAATTAAGAATCAGGTGCGGAGGTGGGTGCTTATAGTCATGATCTGATTCCTGGTCTGATTTCACCATCTGCAGACCAGGGCAGCTGAGGCCTGGAGATGTAAGGCTATTTGCTCAGGTACCACAGCTGGTCGGTGGTGGGGAAAGTCTGGAACCCCCGCTTGTCTGGATGCCCAGCCCTGGCCTTTCCATCCTCCCAACCCCTTTTGTGCCAGGAATGAATGACTGATGAGCTGAGTGACTTGTCCATCACAAGGCCAGACCTCACCCTCCTCCAAAAAGTGCTCCTCTCAATGTGGCCAGGCTCCTGCTTAGTGACACCCACTGGGCACCTGCTGTGAGCCACACTCTGCGCTGGGTGCTGAGGCAGCTACAGAACAAAGCAGGCAACAGCTCTTCCCCTCAAAGCTCCGTTCTCTGCCTCCAGTGGGAGGAACTCACTAGGGCAGGGAGTAGAGAAGGTGCTGCTTTTTCTCAGCCTCAGAAACATCCCAGGAGAAGGAAATCCTGAGAGGCTCAGA